AGCTGAGTCACAGTCTAGTGATTGACCGCTTTGCAAAAATGAAAAATAGGAGGTACACTTTAATGCTCAAAAAATAAAAGAAAAACTTAGTTCAGGTTGAGTTAAACTTTCCCCTGAGCTAAAACTCTGAAACCTAGAAATTAATGATTACTTCAGAAAGTGTATAAGGAAATTTTTTATTTTTAAAGTTGGTTATGTTTTATTTTTTATAGCTGCAACGTTGAAAATGTTCATGTTTGTTAAAACAAATATGCTCTTACACTCATTAATATCTCAACTGGTAATTTTTGTAGGAATTTATCAGGGTGGGGCAGTGTGCTTGTCTATATTTCTGTATGGCAGGAGGGGCATATGCGGTAGGGGGCCAGTGCCCCAGTAAAGCTTTGTGCCTAGCAACGCCCCTGGTAACACCAGCACAATTTAGATTGAAAGTAATGTTTTCAGCTGCAATTCTGAGACGGTGACAAAACAGAAAGGAGTTGCAGAGAAACTGAAAAAAAAAGTTATTAATCAAATTCCGCAGAGTGTGGCAAAATAATGTTTGGCAGGAATGGGCCAAATAACTTTCTGTGATAAATCAGGAGGACCTTGTTTTGATTAATATCTAGTTCCTTTAATAAAAACCTGTTAATTTAAAGTGACCAATATTTAAACATTTTAAATGTATGTTTTGTTTTGTTAGAATGCTTGAATAAGAAACCTCAGATTGCCTTTCACAAGTAATCAGATAAAAACATGGCATTAGAATATTTGAATTACAGAAATTATGAATATTCTATATTAGATAATTGAAGTGTAACCATATTAGTAAACATTTGGAGTTATACTGGATGAATAGACAATAGTCTCAAATACTACTATGAAAAATTAGCATTGTTTCATTATATATCATCCCAAATATTTCTATTTTCATTTACTTCCTTTCTGAAACAAATAGACCCACTCGATAGTGACAAGTGTTTTTTGTTTTTAAAGTATAAATGTCCTATATAAGACAATATGTTATATACATACAAAGGACTTTAAGACTCGTTCTGTGTTCTACAATTCTTATTTTCCCCACAAATCTATGTTAGGAATGGGGTAAGACAGAAACCTTTCTTAGGAAGAAAATCCTCAGACCTGATTAAAATCTTAGAAAAATTTCCAAACACTGTTCAGCTCTGACATAAGCATTCAGATTTTGGAAGAAAACTGACAATTAATTTGTATTTTATTCCAGGTGTAGACATACTGATAGACTCCTACTAAAAAAAAAAAAAAGTCTGGATCCAGAGTTTAATTTAAAGGTTATTTTAAAAAGTAGTGGTTAAGTATGCGCTCACCTATTTCCAAAGGTTTGAGCAGCTTTTACCTTAATAAACATGTTGGCTTTCACTTGAATTTTCACAAAATGTTACAAAAATGATCTATTATTAAGGGGATATAGAACTTGAGGGTAAGGATCTATTGGATAATACAAAGATACAAACAAAGGTGGTTTTCCAGCTGTACAGTTTGGATGGGGAAAAAAACTAATGGTGAAATATTCAAAAGAGTTATAACTATTAACTAGTTTTGTACTAATCAGTAATTCAGATTGTTGCAACTCTTCCTCCTTGCCCAGAATTTCTGGGCGTCTAAAAGAAATTAAATAGCTGAGAGAGATGCCTCATTTATGCTATCCCAATCCTCCTATTGCAGCCAGGTTTCTGTGAGACAAAAAAAGAAAATCAATTTATCAATTTTTTATTCATCATATCAATTTATTATTGTCATGAATTACATCATTAGCAAACTATTTAATGAGAGAGATATTATGGTCGATAAACCACTTTTAATTGTTTTTTACTGTTTTGAAATTAGTCATATTTGTTTTAATTGGATTACGAAGGTTTACTCCTTTAGTGTTTTTTTTTTCTATTTGTTTTTTTTTTGGCTGTGGGCAAGTTACTGTCTTGATCATATTGGTGGGTAAAAGTAACTAAACTATGGCTATTTCCTTGTCTGTACCCTGTCAAGAGTTTGGAAGACCAGTAAATTTGGCCAGATTCCTAGAAATAGAGCTGCATCAAAATTAAATGCAACATTTAACTTATCACCTTTGATGTCGGAATGGATGTTAAAATCCCCCTTTCCAAAGACTTTGTCAGTATTTAACAGCCCAAGCTGTCTGGAGTGGTGGTTCTGCTCGGTGAGAAGGGGGACTGGAGATTGTACCTCTATAGGGGGATCACACTGTACGAGGGCGCTGGAATGGAAAATCCAGCTGATTGTCGAACCTCGGCATCACAAGGAGCGGTCTGGTTTTAGTCCTGGCCACAGGACACTGGATAAGCTCTAAACCCTCTTTGAGGTGCTTAAGTGTTCACCATGAGTAGCATGGTCTCTCCCCAATCTTTTTGATGACTTGATACAACTTTATTGTTTTTTTGTAAAAGTTTATTATATCATTTTTATTTTATGGTTTGCCTGGTTATGCTGACTGGGATTCGCCAAAAAAAAGAAACACTCTAGACCAGGGGTCTTTAACGTTTTCCAAGCCAAGGAGCCCCAAACTGATGGGGAGATGGAGCGGGGACCCCCTAATTTTATATATATTGATGAAATTGTGTTATATCAAACTGGTCCTATAGTCACTCTATTACAGATGGAGTAATGTAACGGAAGTAATTTTACCCTGGGATTATTAAAGTATTTCTGATTCTTATTCCTGGTTGATGGGACAGGTGTTGTGAATGAAACGGTGCCCAGCTTGAAAGAGCTCCTGTGTGTCGCTGAATGTGAGCATTGATGACTGAAAGACATCTTCTGCCTCCATTGATCTGTTTACTACAGTGTGTTGAACTCATTTAATGCGTACTTAAAGACATTTCAATTAGTTGAAAAAATTGCAGGGAAGAATATATATATATAAATATAAACAAGTCTAATCAAGCAAAACTTTCGCGACCCCCATGCCGTACCTCCGTGGATCACCTAGGGGTCGCGGACCCCCTGTTGAAGACCTCTGCTCTAGACTACCCAGTGCGGATGCATTTAATAAAGTCAAAACACTGCCAGAAAGACATTGCAGATGCATCAACTCAGATTTTTTTTTTTATAGGAGCATCTGTTGTCTGACATTGTCCAATTCTTTGTGAGAGTAAACATCCTAACTTAAGAGAGAGACAATGAGAAACAATAACACTGAAAAGAGGGGGTATGCCACACATGAGATAAAAGGTTAGCTCATGGCAGTGGAGTTATGACAATAAAGAGTAAAACATGCAAACCTTTGGCAGTGATTGTATTGCTGATTTCCTTATATGCTTTTACAGGCTTGCAAACCCTGAGATACTTTAGTAGATTTATTGTAGAACAATTCAACAGAGAGTTTAATATGACCTTTAGATCACTATTAAACATATTTAGTAAGACATTGTGCATGAGCATGTAGTCATGAGTAATATAATTACACATTGAGCAACATACCTTGTTAATGTTATTTACATTTGATACCTTAACTAGCAAAGGAATTTACAACTAAGGCTCTCTTAGTCTACTAGTGATTTTTTTTTTTATCACACTATGAAAGTCTAATTCGATCTTCACTAATTCCTTGCAGTTTTTAAGGTATTTTCACATGAAATCAAGTTTAGGTGGTATTGGTTTTATTGCCAGGTATTTTAATGTAGATTGCCTGACACAATAGAGAGTCAATGCTCATAAAGAGGTTGAAAATCTGCTCTTTTTTTTCTTTCCTCATTTAAAAATCTTTCAAAATGACAGTTTTATGGTGGACCTGGACATTTGTTAGGACAATGCACAATGAATGATTGAAGATTATATTAGTGACTCAGCTGACACTATCAGCTAAAAATGCTTTAAATCTAACATCAGACATGGTCTCTGTTAATAGACTTTTATATTGAACATAAATGACAAAGTAGGATGTTTATGGTCTTCACACCCTTTTATACCCACATTACAGGTAATAGTAGCTCTGCTCTGCTCGGGTCTGATGCCTCTGAGCTGGTGATTTCTGTCACAGCACTGGCTGCACTTGAAAGTGGTGATTTCTATTTCTAAACCTCAGTATACATTTAGCAAACTCCATAAAGATTGAGTTTATTTTATCCTTTGAGAATTTTGATAGTATGTTTGTTAGACATTGCGAACTTTACTTCCATGCAACACCATGGTTTGCAAGCTTTATTGTTGACTGAATAGTTCACAATTATGGTTATACAGAATAAATATACTCTACATGTCTCCATTTCAAAGACTTCTTGCAACTGGAAAGCAGTAATCTTTCCTTTTGGACATCATAAAATGTTCAAGCACAGCCACCCAATAACTGACCCATGCCTTTTGGAGTTCAGGCTTCTCATTGAGATTCTATGTTATTGTTGTGATTTTAATTTCTATTTTATCTGTGTAACATTACTACTACTTCACACTGTTACTATAGTCAAATTTTTGTCCTACCTCTTGTCCAGTAACTGTTTTAACTTTGTCCAATATTTATTCTCGTCAGTTTGTTTTTAATTCACTGTATGATGAGTGATTTCGAAACAGATTGTATATAGAAAGTAATTTGCTTTGTAATTGTTTTCCTCCTTGTTTTATTATTCATGAAAAAATAAGTAATATGTATAAAGTGTGAAACAAAGATTGTTTTGTGTTGTTACTGGTGTGAAAAAGAGCTCTGCTCCTTCATGATACCATTTTAGTGAAATCTAGGGCAAATCTTTGGTGGCAGATATTAACCCTTGGCAGTCAAAACAGTTTGATGGCCTACAAACAGCCCCTGGTTGATTCTAGCTCCAAGCTGCATATGTGTTTGTGTCTGTTGCTGTACAAATAAAAGCGATCCCACTGTAGCTCTAATGAGTAGAATTTTATAAAAACATTACTCTCTATGTCATCTGAATTTCTGCCTAGGGACTGAAAATACTTAAGCATCTTATTAGTTACTGTTATAATTATCAGCACAAAAAGGGCTTATGAAGAAAGTCTTTTATTGTTCTCTCTTAAAGGTCACAGAGGAAGAAGGGGACATCAGTGAGAAAAACAAGAAGAAGGATACGTTCCAGGCGCCACATCCTGTTATAACGTTCCCAGAGTCCCACTTCCACAGCACCAAGGGTCTCCGAAGGCAGAAGAGAGACTGGGTGATCCCACCCATCAATGTGGCAGAAAATTCACGTGGACCATTCCCTCAGATGCTCGTCAGTGTAAGTGACAGTTTTGATTGGCTGCGGCACTGATTTGCTGAGAATTTGCAGCTGGGATTTCTTGAGGGCGCTTCACAGCTACCACTGATTGGGGACGTGTGTAATGAAGGGTGATAAAGCACAGAAATGCATTAGCATAACTAGTTTGTTCTCCACATCCTTGAAGATGATTGTGTTGTGCTCCCCTGATGTAATTAGAGCCACAGTATCTTAAGCTATTTAAAAAGCCCTGACTGACCCTGAGATGTTTTCCCTTCAGACACACAGCAGACAGCGGAACTGGCTAAGCGGTTAACCCAAGAGTAAAAAGGGGTTTCTATTTACTTTAAACTGCAAATATCACACATTGATGACATAGAGATGTTGCAACGATTAAGAACAGTTTTATGTTCTGGAAAAATAGTACAATAAAAAAAAAACTGTATTTTGAAAACAGCCTGCTGGGGTTCAAGTTTATGCATGTGACAAAAATCTTTAGAATTAATGATTATTTTGTAGTGCAAAGGCTTGAATTGCAGATGGACTGGATTCCTGAGACTCTGCAACCAGAGGATTGCAGCTTTGTCTGTCTCATTGATAAACTGTATTTTTAAAGCTTCTAGCACTCTCTTCAATTTATCCCAAAATAATTCAAGTGGGATATGTCTTGCTTTCTCTTTCCATTTTTCTTTATCTGAAATATCTAGCCACCGGCTTTTCCCATTGCTCACAAATCTCTCTCAGTTTGTCTTTTCCTGGTTTTAAATTGTGCAAAGGAAGCATTTTTGGTTTGTTTCCTTTTTTTTTGTTCATCCAGGTTTTATCCTGCAGACCTGGGGGGTGCTGAAGAACAATTTCTCTTTCTAGGTGTTTTTTTCCTACTGAAATATACAACCTCCTATCTAAGAAGGGAGTTTTTGATTTGGAGTGCTTCTGCTACTGATGTCTGTTCTGTCAGCTTTGAGTTCTGTCCTATTTTCATCTGAACTTTCTAAGCCATTTACTAGTGCTATTCCAGCAATAAACTAATAAGATAGGTGTGTTTTTCCTTAGAACTGGTGAGAACCAGAGTGAGACGCACAGGTAAGGAAAGAATGAGAGTATCAGAGGAACATTTCGAAGTACAGTTCACAGCCAAACACAAACCATTTTGTGCAGTAAATGGGTCCGTCAGGGGCTGGTGGATTGCTAAGAGTTGAGCGTTCAGAGCAGGAGAGAAGTGATGCGTGCTGATGCCTTTGTTCAGCTCAGAGGCTCTCATCTTACTCTTTAATGATGACTGGAGGGCAGGAGCAGGCATACAGAGAGCTAAAGATCTGAACAAACAGATGTGGGTTTGTGGCATGGGGATGATTCTGCCAACTTTTTGTTTTTGTGTTTAGTCTGGTTTAATAACTTCTATCGTTCTCCTAGGGTTATGTTCACACCTTTCCTTCCACTTATTTTTACACTGAATATAAAACAAAGCCTGAAGTACCTATGTTTAGGTATCAAGCAGATATTAAGCCTTTAGAAAATTAGCATGACTTTATCTTAACATGTATTTAAATAATTATAATATAAACAAGAAAAGTTTTTGGGTAAAAGGGGGCACTGTTTGAGAGCTGACTTCTCACACATGCAGGCAAGGACATACAGTGTATTTAAAAAAAAAACGTGTTAATGATTTATTTTAAGAAACACCAGAGACTACAGCAGCTTTTAGGCTTTCCCTTCGGTTGTTCCATCTAACACCAGTACTGTGAAAACAAATCTCCATCTGAGCCCAGGACTCTGCTTTCCCAAGGCGTACACAGAAGACACCACCCCAAGCCACACAACAATGTCAGGCAAAGATAAGGCTTTAAATTTTTATGACATGGATGATAGCCACATCACACAAAAATTATAAAAAGCCAGTATAGTATTAAATTGTGCTATTTTTGTTTAACAACCTGCTTTATCGGATTTATGTATTTAACGTGCAACTTCCCATGAAGACAAAGTGACCTCTTGATATATAACTCTATAAACTTGAATTCCTGCAACTTATAGTCATTTTGACCACAAAGACCAATAAAAAATGCAGTGCACACAGTTATCCAGGAACATTTTGGAAGTTTCTATGGCAACCTGATTGTAGGGTATACATCTGGTAGAAATCAAGGCTTACCTAATAAATTTCTGTTGAGTGATGGATACTACTGGTTAAATGGTTTAATCCGTTAACAGAGTTGTGTAGTTTGGCAGGATTACAAATAACCACCTGTTGAAGGACAATGTGCGGAACATTGCACTCACTGTTGTGCCACAAATCACAGCATTTTCTACAGTAAGAAACAAAACAATTGTGTGTTGTGTATGCTAACGTTAAAGCAAACAAAAAAATTTTAGAAGCCAGTTTGTGGGACCTTACATTTGAAGAAATATCGGTAAAGAGACCCTCAAGATGCTTCTTAACAGTTATGTTTTATTTCCACATGAACTGCAGTGTTTCTCTACATTATATTAGATTTTTTTTTTTTGGATGGCTCATATTAAAGTATACCCATATGTACCTTTATTATATCAGACCACCAAGCTCAACTCTTTAACATTCAGAAACAATTACCAGCTTATATGCATAACAAGGAGAAATGCATTTATATTGGACTGTCCAAAGAACCACTCATCATTATTTTATCTACTCTTTTTCTAAAACAAAAAACAAACAAAAAACATACAGTATGCACCCTATCATGTTTTAGTCATTGAAGAACCATTTTTATTTTGTACTCATACCATAAAAAACATTTGATTAAAAAAATGTTCATTCATCAATAAAAACAACAGTTTTCTCAAAGAATGACAAATAAGTCCTTTGCTATTCAGTAGTTTTACTGTATGTAAAAAGGTTTAGATGAGTTAAAGTCAAGTAATAGCATATTTGCTTTGTTATAAATATGAATATACATAGAAATAAAACACATCTAATATTTTGATGGGCAGAACAAGAAGACACAGCTTTACCTTTTTAAGATATATGTCCTTATTTATGATAATCTATAGAACAATATCTTTTAAAACCAGGGATTTTTTTTTTATCTGAACACCAATATATGTAGCATCACTCAATGTCCTTTGAGCTGCTTCCCCTAATGGTGTGTGAAGTCAGCTCCTTTCCTAATGGGCTGATCTGTCATCCAACACAGAAGTGAGTGACACGCAGACAGGAATTTTGGTCACTCTACTTTTCTTGCTGCCCTGACCAAGTTGCCATCAGTCGGACAGGTGGGTGACAGTAGACTTGTCTGTAATCTCTGTGGGTCTGCAGCATTGTCACTTTGATCAGAGTAGCCAACATTGGGCAGGTATCAGGACTGAGTCAGCCCCTCTTACTGGCTACTTAGCAAGATGCTTGACATGACTCAAGGGAAATGCTGTCCAGGCAGAAATCACCGGCCTTTAGGCAGAGAGTGCAAATTGCATCTTAGAGAGATAGTTTTGACTGCATTTTATTAACAGTGGTGCTGGGGGGGGGGACAAAACAAAAGAAAAAAAAATCTAACATTCCCACTGTAAATCATGATTTTTTACTCATGTTTGTTGCCATAACAATGTCTCTTTTTTGACAATGCTAACACATTTAAATGTTCATTTAATCCCGCTGATTTTATTTTATTTTTTATCCAGCAGCATTTTAGATGTTTAAATGTAACATACATTATACTTCTATTAAGTTATTATATCATTAAAAGTAAGATATCCAGAGTCAGCCATCAATACTAGAAGATTCAGCAGTATGACTTTTCTACTAAAAAGGTCTCCTTTATTGTTTTCCTTTAGCTAAACACCCATTTATAGTAATAAGGAAGAACCCTAAATTGATACACACTTATCCTACAGCTCTGGGTCATTAATTTATTTTGCAGAAGTGAAAATAAATTTTAACATAACCACCTGCAGTCCACCTACACTATCCCCTAACTTCCCTCATCCAAACAGTTTAACAAAAGATAAGTACTGTGAAATGAAGTACAAGAAAATGAGGTTGTTCCAGACAGTTGAAAGGTTTTTAGGGTTGGTTATACTGTAGTTCAAGCTCGTTTCAGGGCAGGCCATGCTTACATGATGCTTTAGTAGTGGAATCTTCCCTACTCTCCTTTTACTTTGTTGATTTAGTCCATTTTGCGCTCCAAAGGATAATTCAAAAGAAAGCTAATTTTTCCTTTTTCCTGTAATAACAACTTTCACATCAACTAGTATTCCTTGGTGTGACCTGGTAGCTCCCAGATTTGTTAAATGTACTGATCTGAAGAAGGATGGTTTCTTAAGTCAGCCAGCCTGTCTAGCACTGGTCAGTACTGAAACTGGCTGATTGTTATTGCTGACCAAATTCTTGGTGTACCTCTAATAAGTACTGTATTGAGCCTTGTATTGGCTAATCATAAAGAAAGCAGCAGGTAAATAAATGGAGATCTAGATCAGACCTTCTCAGATAGTAATGATGAAAATATTGAGCATGAGTGCAAAATGTTAGCTTTCACATATGCTTAAGTGCCACACTTCAGGCACAGATTGACACTTGGACTGAGCAGTTGGCAAAGCTTGGTGGGTTTATTTTTGGACAATCCAGGTAATCTAGGTCGGACAAGCAGAGGGTCAAAGCCAGGGAATCCAAGGTTGGGGGCTCAGGTTCAGACAAGCAGCAAACTGGACAAAGAGAGAAACAAACAAGCAGGTTAGATCTTATTAGACTTGGGCTATCTAGTAAAATGGCCTGAATGTGTTACCACAGGGGGGAGTCAACAATCTGACGCCATGCAGGTGGAGGATCCATCCTTAAGTGGCTGGAACTGCTGATTAGGGTGATGAAACCATAGGTGTGTGGGTCACAGCAGAGGAGCCGATGTGACATTAATTATTTTTGCTGCAGGGATTTACATAAGGCACTAGAGACATCTGCAGGCCTGTTTTTTGACCACTTAGCACAACTTTTGCCATTGTTTTGTAAGCTACAGCAGTGTAAGACCTTGGAAGAATTTGATAAACTTTATGCTTGA